TGATCACGTTTTTCCCCTTCTTCCCCCTCCCCTTCTTTTTCTTCTTTTGGGCCATGGACGGTTCATCATGGACCTGAAATTACGTTGTTTCAAAGCTACTGGTATTGAGAGGCAACTGATAATGCTATACTCGTGATATTTACTTGCAAAAGAACATTTTTTTCCTTTTCTTTTTTTGTCATTCAACAGCAAAACTGATTCCTCTTCTCCATCAATTTATCCACCCATCTTACTTTGCTAAAACACAAACAAGAGTGTGAAAATAATTCCCAGACCCAAAGTGTGATGCAGGGGCTGGTCAGTTCTGATGCACCAGAAAGTGAGCATTATAAGCACCAAGAAAAAAACATATCTAACTGCTTGCTCATTTATGGTGACTGGCTATTGCAAATGCTTGACCTTTTGCAAGAACTAGATCGCTAGATCATGACCAAGCCCCCCCCCCTCATCGTGTGACGATCTCCGAGTCATTGCCATACATGTATAAAATGGCTCGTGATCAAAACTAATTAAACGCCCTGACTGATGATGATGTCTAGTAACCAGCCCGAGGAATACCTGTAACGTCGTACTCACTTTTATAGGAACCCTCACGTCAGCCTTGTAAACAAAATTCACAACCATCTGCCACACACCAGGTGTAGTTGTAGCAGTGGCGGCACCGCAGGTGGTAGTTCTTGGTATCCACCTGATGAGGACGTACAGAGAAAAGAGTTTTTGACGCGCACGTGGTTTGCGCTAAGAGAACGGCGTAAATCAGGGATCATGAGGCTTATGAGGAAGACACGCGGGTAGGTAAACAAAACTATCAAATACTAGTTGTACATTTGATTCGATTTTCTCCTGTTCTATGTTCCTATGATATGTTGTTTTACCCTTCTAGTGTAAAATCTTTTGAAAGTGCATCTATTCCTGTTCTCATTCCTTATGTTGTTTTACTTTCCAATGTAAAAGATTCCTTTAAAAGTGTACTTATTCTTATAAGTTCTTTCCAATGTAAAATATTCTTTTGAACGTGTACTTATTCTTGTTATTTATACATTTTACACAGAAACAAACCAACAAAAACAACAACCATTTGCTGCTTGGGAACTCAGCGTTTCGGTTATCTTTTTTCAAGGCTTAAACTAGATACAAACAAGATCTTGTGAAACTGCATCTGTAACTCTTAAAATTGTTCTTTCCAGAAATGAGTCACCAAATGAACAAACCACGAGAGAAAATATTAATTAAACAGTACCGCACAAATCTACGGAAGTCAAACTTACGTCGGTGAGTTTCAGCGGCTTGTTGCACACCCGGCACTGGGCACCAAACTGTGAAGAAATGATTCCGGCTATTCAGCAGTAATCTTAGTTAGATAACGTACGTTTTGAGAATGCTGTTGTTTAATGTCAATCGTTATCATGCATTCTTGTATCTTCTTATACATGTATTTTGTTATTGTATTGGGCATGGTAGGGCCACTGTGGATGTACGTGTCATAACTCTATTTTTCCAGCCTGTGTTCACATATAAATTTATTATATTCAACTGATACGTGTATCGAAATGATACGCTCAAACGGAGAACGTTCTAGAACAAGAGGGGAACTTTCCTCAAGCTAGCAGTAGGAACTGTCGGTCGCCAAATGGGAGAAAACGGTTTCTTCGTGTGTTAAACGGCAAAGTTGACAGCGAATTGAAGTTTTTAATTAACTTGTGTAGATAGGCAGACTAGTTAAGTTATAGAGGCTATCATAAAAGGGAGTGGAGTGAATGTGGGTCTTGAGCAGATGTCGCGATCTCAAGCAAACGAACGAACGAACGAACGAATAAACTTACAAACAAATCAAGTTTGATATGGTAAACAAACGACGAGCATTTCAATACTTACGGGGGGGGAGGGGTGAACACGTTCCTCACTACGTCTCGGAGAGAATCCAAATCCAACTCTTTCGAGTTCACCGAAGGCATGGTAATCTGGGATTCAGTTTTTAACCTTACGTCAAGAAATTTTCCAAAAAACTCGACTTAAGTCGGGAGAGATATTGAGCGCAGGCAAAACGCGTGCTAGCTAACGTTATCTCGAGGTGGAAAATATTCCAGACGGGAGCTCGGTTGTGACGGAATAAAGTCCGAATCGCTTTATTGTTCATTCTGATAGCTGATTGGCTGAAAGGTTGTAACGGCCAAGTGGGATTCTGGGAAGAAAAGGAACAACCATTACGTAACAATGTGCTCATTTCGTTATATTTTGTAGTAAAGTGGGTGGTAAAAATCAAATGTTTTCGCTGTCTGACACCCCCACAAGAAGTGCGTTTGCTTTCTTGTGCTGGAAAGTTTGCGGCGCACACATTTTTGCACTTCATGGTTTTACCGCTACATTGTGTGACCCATATGGAACTCTGCTAAGAAAACATAACCCGTTTCTACTCAAAGCTGCACACCCTCAAGTCTAGCGACTGTCTCTGCCGGGGAATAATTCGGAAGGCAAATAACTGTATATGGGATGAAAGGATAACTGTTATGGCAACCCATATTCTGTAAAATGCGCGCGGTGATGTCATCCATAAAAATACTTGCTCTGGCCTCAATTCAGATTGAACTACAATTTAACCTGGTCACTTTCCATACAAACGCGCATACCTTTGGCAATAGATTGTAAAGGATTGACCCAAAATCCGCGCAACATGAGCTATTATGATACTGACGTTAGTAATAATCGCATTTCTTGTAAAAATCGCTAGGTGGCAGTTTTCTTGAGTAAACAAAGAAGGGTTATTCTATTATAAATCTAAGGGGTGAACTAGCGTCCAAAGTCTTTCACATATTTGTCAATGTTCACGTCGATTCTTAATTTTTGTTGAAAGCAAAGTGAGCCAAAATCAAAAGGGAGTATTTCTGTTTTATTGATGTAATACACGATGCAATACACAATAAAAGACATCAAAATTTATAGAACATCCCTATTACTTACCTAGTCGTGAATGGTTAAGACGGAAGTATTTCCGGTCAGCGTCCATGGCCATCACAACCACAACACCTGTAAGAGTGAACGTTTAACGTTACATGTCGCAACGGCGGTCAAGTGGCCATCCTCAGGACATGTGGGACAGAGTATCCGTGCTCTAATCAACTGGACATCAGCGTGTCGAAAGCCACGTCCATGTGTGGAAGCTGTGTACACCTCCATGGACCAGAGTATTTTATGGGAGACGCCGAAGAAAAGTAATGGGAAACTCGGCCTTCAAGAACGGTAAACGTTAACGTTAAACCTTTAGGTGTTCACAACGGCAGAAATGATCTGAATGTAGCAAAATTATAGACGAGTAAATAAAAGGTTTGAGGGTAAGTATGGCGGGTTGTGACAACACAGTGAACACGCTGTTTTCAGAGGACGGCATCCAGGCTGCTGAAGCTCTACGGAACTCAAGAACTCAGCAGTGACGACTTAAAAGTTAAATACATTGAGGATACCTTAAGTTAAATGCAGCAAAAGGCCAGCATATGCCTGCTTTTTGTTAAAGTCGCTCTGTACTGCTGCAAATTCATAACCCCAGCTTTGTATTCCTGTGGTTTAGTAGCATTTCTTTTCTGTCTGTTTTTTCTTTGCCCGTGCCCACTAATTTGGGGGGTCTTCAGAGGATGTCATCCATAAAATTAAGATACTAGCACTAGTCTAGTAGCAGCAAAGCACAGTTTTCGCCCAATGGGGATTTCTATAGTTAAGATGACTCACTTTGACGCGGTAAAAATCACAGTACTACTAGTAGGGTGCACTTCACAAATACAAAAATCGAATATGTTTGAGAAGAAGGTACAATCTACAAAATATCTAGAAACCAAAAAATCCCATCGGCGTATCGCTCGTAACGTATACTTTGAAATACTCTACGGAGGTGACCTGAACTGCAGCCGACTCACCCGGAAAGCCAGTTGCGGAATATGGTGCATTTACATTATTGTATACACGAACTGCAAAACCTTCACAATTCAAATCATACAGTCTCAAACCCGATACATTCCTACACCACACAGCACAATTTACATCTGGCTGACGCTCATATCAGGCTTTCTACCCAGCCTTCAAGAATATTCACTGTAACGTTACTATTTTCTATACCCGCGTCATAGACCCCGGGGGTCGCCCATTAATACTGTGTGCAGCGACCTTGAGTTAAGCCTCTACCTATCTGCAATGGCAAAGTTTTTCTACAGAAGTACTGTGTTTCTGGTCAGTTCATCTATTATTTGGCAAATGAAGTGTGCACCTTTGCTAGAAGGTCTGAGGGTTGTCATCAGAAGTTTTTCACAGTATCGAGGTCAAGTTTGTTTATTTGTTTATTAGACCGATCTCCATTAGTTTGTACCGTTGCCATACATACTATTCTTCCTGGAGTCGTTAACTACAAACTACTATCATAACAACATGGTTGAGGGATGGTTGAAGTGCCTTGATGTATATGGCCTCTTTAATGCCTCTCTTGAACCATCGCTCAACCAGGACGAGAGGCGATATCGACTTCAGACAGAAAATCATGTGTCCACAGCATTTGGGTCAGATAGCTGAGGAAGACTGAGTGATTCAGTCGAAAATTTCTGGTGAGTCAAATTTTGAGTTGGAGAACAGTTTAAGTTTTTCATAATCTAATTAACTTATTTGATCTGGCACCCAAATAGCTACTATTGAAGGACAAATTTATTGGTTATAGCTTTATTCTGTAATGAAACACCCCTATGCTTAAGTTTAAAGACAGTGTATAGGGGGCTAAATCACAGTATGGAGGGTGCAGATCACAGTGAAGGGGGCCCTACACACAAATATCCTAGTGAGACGCTGTTGCCATGTACATGTGTCACTCAAGTTAGGACTCGCTTTACACTTAGGGAATAACTTGACTTTTGCAAGTGGCATTCTCATGAAATTGTACAAGTCAGGACAAATGAAGAAAGATTAAGTCTACAAGGAGACAGCACATTAGGTATGAGGTGGTGTGTTACACTGAAGGGCAGTTATACTGGCTATACAGGTACAGATGAGGGTTAGGACAGTGGAGGGTCAGGAGAGTGTAGGTGCAGTGGGAATCTCCCTGCTGGGTGTGTGTGAAAGAAACAGACGGATGCCATTTTCATATGTCAGGTTTTGTCCTAATGTGTCTGGGACTCTTTTTCATCTTGCTCTCCATCAATCCATGGAAGTTAAACAGCTTCTAACTGTGAATGGTAAACAGATGCAGAAAAGCCCATTCCAAGCATTAACACCCCTCATAAAGAGTAAATATGTGAATAAATGATAACTTTCTTGTTTTCCAATTTAACAGGTGGTCGAGTGAAGCTGGTAGGAACAGCAAACCAGTACATTGACAAGGTACGTGTACATGTGTGTGGAACATGGAAGGCTCCACATTCCCTTCACCAAGAACGTTATGTTCTGGGAATGTGCATGCAGCATGTTACATGTATATAACCTGTTATATGTGTGTGTGTGTGTCTGTGTGTGTGTGTGTGTGTGTGTGTGTGAGTGTCTGTGTGTGTGTGTGTGTGTGTGTGTGTGTGTGTGTGAGGAGGGGGGGTGATATGTATGTGTGCAAAT